CAAGAAATTTAGTGACATTAATTGCAATGAGGAATATCATATATCCATAGCACTCAGATATTTTTTCAATAGAACATGATCATGATGAGCCAGTAAGATTTTTAATTTTTAAAATTCCCGTGGCAACGCACGGGCATTCTACTAGTAGCATACAGATTGCCACGTCATGTGTAAATCCTTTTGGATTTCCAGTTTTTAAAATATTTTATATCTTAAATGGAAAATTCGATTGAACATCCGTTTTCACCATTAAATCCGACTTGACGAGATCTTCGAAACTAGATATCATATCGATATGTTTCGACGACTTTTTTTGTTAAAAGTTGCCATGTCTATTGCACATAAATTGACATGATGTTTACATTAAAGTTGCCATAATATGTTTCAACTACCTTTCTTCTATGTTAAAAATAAATTTTGACATATTATAAAAAAAGAAATTAAGAAACTAAACTTGCCATGTTGAATTAGTAAAATTTGCCATGATCCATGAAATATTTTTGACATGGTTCATAATTAAAAAGAAATATGTCGTCAATTAATTTAAAAATGCATGATCAATGACTTAAATTTTCCATGAACCATAAAATAAAATTACCATGGTGAATTACTTAAATTTGCCATGATACATGCACTAAAATTTTCCATGGTCCATGCAAAAAATAATTTTCATGGTAAAAAGTACTAGAATTTCCATGATCAAAATACTAAAACTGCCATTATCTATAAACTAAAATTGCCACGATCTATAAACTAAAATTTCCATGTTGAGTTACTAAAAAAATGCCATGACCCATGAATTAAATTTGCCGTGGTTAATTACTACAAATTTCCATGGCCACTTAATAAAAATTGCTGTAAAAAGTAGTTGAAATGCAATGGTAGCTTTCAGTCTAGAATAAAAAACTAGATGAAACATGTCATGGCAACTGTAGTGTAAACACTATAGCAACTTTAGTGAACATATTGTAGCAAATTTTGGCTAATTTTTTTTGTCGAAACATATTAACATGAGATCTAGTTTTGAAGATCTTGTCGAGACGGAATTAATGGTGAAAACTGATTTTTAATCAGGTTTTTTATTTACGAGATAAAATATTTTTAAGTCTGAAAACCCAAAAGATTCCTGTTGATATCATCTGTTTTGACGTGGCAAAATGGATGATAATGTAGGTGTTTGAACCATGTTGCTTCGTGCCACACGCGTGGCACTTACCATTTAGGATTTTTTTACAAGTATAAGAAATGATCTGATTCTCAAGATTTTATAAGGCCGAAAGAACTAACCCACATACTGGACTGAAACTTCCCTGGATGTTGCCTGAGCTTTATATGATTGGTGCCTAAAAAAACCGGAGTACGTCAGGCCTGAACCATCCAGGCAGATGATTAGTCTATCAGGCTTCTTCTTTTCGTTGTATGGGCTCAGGCTAACAGCCTGGGACTAATTGAATAATCTCTCTGTTTCTTTTTAATCTGCATATAAGATTGAAAAAACTAACGCCTTGTGGGCGTTTGTACATCACCCACACGCCTTCATCATCACTCACTTTGCCATGTATGAACAGATGACATCAGCAGAATTTTTTTTGGTTTTCGGCTTAAAAATATTTTATCTCCTAATTAAAAAAGCGAATTAAAAATCCGTTTTGACCATTAAATCCGTCTCAACGAGATCTTCAAAACTAGACCCCGTGTTGATATGTTTTGACGAATTTTTTTGTCCAAAAGTTGCCATGATGTTTACGCTGTAGTTGGATGGTGCTTAAACTAAAGTTGTCATGTGGCAATTTTAGTTTTGTAGATCATGACAATTTTAGTTTTTGATGATGGAAATTCCAGTATTTTAACCATGAAAATATTTTTTTGCATGAACCATGACAATTTTAAGTGCATGTATCATGGCAATTTTAGTTTATGGTGCATGACAAGTCTAGTTTCTTAATTCTCTATTTTATAATATGTCAAATTTACTTTTTAATATAAAAGAAAATAGCTGAAACATAACATGGAAACTTTACTGTAAACATCATGGCAATTGATGTGCAATAGTCATGGCAACTTTTAACAAAAAAAATCGTCGAAATATATTGATATGAGATCTAATTTCGAAGATCTCGTCGCGAGGGATTTAATGGTGAAAACGGATCTTCAATCGGATTTTTCATTTAAGAGCTAAAATATTTTAAAAACTAAAAATTCAAAAAGATATCCACATGCATGCATGCGATGACATGGCGTAGTCTGTATGCTATAGGACGTGTGGACGGATTTGGCTCCCACCACATGTGTGGGCATTAGCGTTGTCCTATAAAATTTGGTCAAAGTCAAACTTTGTTAACTTTGACTAAGTTTATAGAAAAAAAAATCAAGATTCATAATATGAAATCAATATTGTTAGATGCATCATTAAATTAATATTTTCATACCATATAGCTTTAATATTGTAGATGTTGATATTTTCTTCTATAAAGTTGGTCAAATTTTACAAAGTTTGACTTTGATTAGATCTTATATGCAAACTAAAAAGAGTAGTTTATAGACAACCTCTATATTGCTTTGTCAGTTTTATGTACTCCCCCCGTTCCTAAATGTAAGTCTTTTTAGAGATTCCAATCCAAACTGCATATGGATATATATAGACATATTTTAGAATGCAGGTTCACTCATTTTACTCCGTATGTAGTCCATAGTAGAATCTTTAAAAAGACTTATATTTAGTAACAGGGAATATTTTTTAATTCCCCAGTGACTTCCCAGGCTCAGGCCATGCTCCAAACAGCGACATATCTAAGCTGCTTGGCCAGGCTAAAAAATCAAAATCCAAGGCCAATAAGAGGCAACACTTTCACCAAGGCGCATGCATGACCCAGGGTAGCAACCAAACTTCCAAGGCGCAATAGCTTGCGTAAGAGCATCTCCAACAGCCGCGCTAAACAAGCGTCGCGCCACAAATTAGATCATTTTAGCGCGCGTGCAACCCGACGGGTGGCTCCAGCGGGCGCGCAATAACCGCGCGCGCGCTATAAGGAGTTGGGCGCGCGGTCGGATTCGCTATCTCGCAAGGTGTAGTTTGGGGCGTCCGCTTCCGCGCGTGTCACACTCGAGCGCTCGCGCCGCACTCTCTCCTCTCTGCCTCCTACGCCTCGCGCACGCCGGCGCCGGCGAACTGCATCCATGGACGCACGCGCCGGCACCCGCTCACCCCATTATACAGCCGCGACCCCTCCCCCGCCGCCGTCGCCGCCGCCGCCGCCGGAAACCCTAGCGCGGGGAGCGTTGGCCTCGCCACCGCTGGAGCTCCGCTGAGCATCGGCCTCGCGCGCAGCCTCTTCTTGTCGCGCGCAGATGACCACGACGACGAGTGGCGTCGCGCCGGCGCCGTCCCGTGCCGCCGTCGCCCCCTCGAAGCTCCCCAATGCGGTGCGGCCGAAGAAGGGCAAGACATCCGCGAAGAAGAACAAGGCGGCGGACGGCTCCGGCAGCTCGAAGGCGAGGGGAAAGAAGCTTGCAGGGCGTTTGACGGGCGCGGCGGCTACCGAAGCGCCGACGAGCTCACTCATTGAGCCGGCCGCCGACGCGCACCACGTGTTTGCCGAAATGCCCCCAAGGTAGAAATTTTTTCCAACTTTTATTTTCTTGTTATTTTTTCAATGCATTCATATAGATAGCTTATTTGCATTGTTTAAAAAACTTTGTAGTCTCAACGATGATGCATATATGTCAACTATGGGTGTTGGCTCCAACAATTCGCATTGGTCTCAAACCAATGACATCCATTTCGAAGACCATGAGTTCGAAGTGGACGAGGAGGGTGAGGGCATTGTCAACGCGCCGAAAGGAAGAGCGGGCAATTACACCGACAAAGATGACATCTTACTATGCAATACTTGGTTGCAAGTGTCGAGAGATCCATCCATTGGAGATGATCAAAGTAGAGATGCTTATTGGGGCGGATGAAAAAACACTTTGATGCTCACAACGTGAGTGGAATTGACCGCTCCGAGAGATCACTTCGGTCCCGATGGTCGACAATCAATTCGGATTGTCAAAAATGGGCGGCCGCACAAAAGGCGGTTGACAAGTTGAACCCGAGTGGCACAAATGAGGACGATAGAGTAAGTGGCATTTCATACATGTTCATCATACTTGTTTTTGGTGCCCGAAGTGCTAACTTGTTTTGTTTTCATGTAGTACAACATTGCACAAAACTTGTTTAAAGAAGAGGAGAGAAAAACCAAGAAGGCGAAGATCAAAAAAGGAAGGATCTTTACCTTGCCTCATTGCTATAAATTGTTGAAGAATGATGAGAAATGGAAGAAGTGTGAAGATTTGTGTCCAAAATGCCATATATGCAATGTCCAGGCAAATCGCGCGCGCTGTATTTTTACGCGGCTGTTGAAGCCAGCGCTGACGGACGCGGTAAACCAGCCGAAGCGCGCATGACAAACTAGTTTTTTACGCACGGCGCGAAACACGGCTGTCGGAGATGCTGTAATGAAATTCTGCCTCCCCTGCACCGTACCAACGCTCGGAACGCTCCAAACCGGTCAGCCAGCCCAGTCCGGCAGCCGCAGGAAGACGGAAAGCTCCGCGCGCGCGCACACACACTCCAAAAACAAAAAGCGAAGCAGTGCTGCTATGCACACGATGTTGACGGACGATTTGTGGACGACAACACTTATCAGATCGTCCATGCATAGCATCAAACCGTAGTTGACGGCTGGATTGCCCGTCGTCTCACTGTCGTGCAAGCACGTTGTCGTCCACACATCAGTTTCGAAAGCGAAGCAAGGAGAGCGAGCAACCACCACCAAAACCCAAACCCTAACCAACGCCACCACCACCGTCCCTACGCTTCTCCTGTCTGTGGGACGCGCAGCAGATCGGCGCCCGGATCCAATGGCGCGCTTATTGCTGCTGCTGTAGCGTAGGGCAGCGAGGAGACCGGTGCTCGGATGCCGCCGATCTGAGGCATCGGCGAGGACGAGGACGAGGGGATGTCGTCCGCGCCGGCGCCAGGCGGGGCGTTCGACCGCTACGTCCAGCGCGGCGGCGCGGTGGCGGTGCCGGCCTCAAGCGGCAACACGGTGCGTCGTCCCGTGCTTACCGCCGCGTGGCTGTTGGTTGCTTTCGTGGCGGGGGTACTGGATTGGCTGGGTTTGGGATTTCGTGTGGGTTTGGCATCCGACGCTGATGGGCAAGCATTTCGGTTCCGTGTTCCTGGAAGCTCTTGGACCGTACGCTGCTCTGAGCGCTCTTTGTTAGCTCGAGTGTTTGCTTCGCTGCTATTAATAGGTTTGGCCTGGCCTTGGTTGGATTGAGTTGGAGGCGACGGAGAGATTTTATGCCTTCTTTGGTCCAAGAGCTTTGACTTCCTAGCTAATGATGATATTAGTGGGTATAGTTGGCAATGCAGCTTAGATTTGGATTCAGAGGGCGAGCTTGCCATTGGGGTGTAACACGGATCATGTTAGGACATGGACTACCTGTGGAGATTTTTGCTAGTTCCTTGATGCAAATGCTATGTCCGTACAAT